GAGTCAATAAGCTAGGAAGTGGCTTGAGCGCGATGCCGCGTTAAAATGCGTTCATACTTTGCGACAGCGTTTTGAGTGCTTTTAGGTATCGATTCAGTGTTTTGAGTGACTAGAAAAGTATAGTTTCGATACATCGTTCTGAGCGTTTTGAGCGACTAATAAAGTGTAGGTATCGATTATGGCTGAAAACGCTGGCTGACGCTCAAAACGCTAGATCGATGCCCTTCAGTTTCCCAATAGCTCAAAGCGCTAAAAAGGCTCAAAACGCGGACAGACGCTCAGAACGCTACCACAAAGTATAAACGCGCTCCTAGGATGTCATGATCTACAAGAAGTCTTATAAGAGGGAGTGAGCTAAGGTATGGGTGCCCATGGACTGCGGACCTCTGTTACTGTTGCGCTCAATCTCCTTATTTAGGTGAATCACATCAAATTGGAAACAATAGGATTCGAGATGCTGCTACCTCCATGTAACACCGCAATGTCTGGTTTGGCATTGCATAAGAGGCTTCCTAGTGGGTTTGAAGAGAGGATTCGAACGGTATATGCTCGATTAAATATTTACATTAGAATTGGTGAATACCACTACTTTGTTGTAAAAAGCATACTGTGTTTCAGATTATCCAGTTCTACTTTCATATTCGGAAGCTATCCAAAGATATGTCGGGAGACGCTGAAACTGAGCTACCACTTCAAGTCGGGAATAACTCTGCAGTGGAAGTCGGCGATTGCATCAATCTGAGTGGGTTTGGTGACCCTCAAGATCTTTATATGGGTTTGTTGTGTTTTTGCTCGTGTGTGTGTCGCGGCTTGCACTAACGGTGACGTGATTGGATAAATGCATGATTTTTGCTATTTGGTGGTCGATGAAGAAACTAATAATGGTCGTTTATAGACAACTCTGATCTGTTGTCTTGTGTGGTGGTATTGAACAAAAATGAACGCCTCTCACGATTTCTGGTAACCGATCGGCTACAGCTTATACTGGTAGAGCCGGATACACGAAAAGCTGGATGGGCAATCGTACGATTCGTAGGATTACTACAGGTAGCAAGAAACCGTTATGATGTTCTATGTTCTCTGTCTTCTACAAATTCTCCCATTTAGGATACACAAATCAGTGGTGACCCATCGGATAGTAAATCTCTTCATGTAGTTGTTGAGGGACAGCCGAATCGTCAAAGGGTATTCTTTTCTTGATATCTTAGATTTACTTGAGTCAATGGCAGAGTTTGGGTTGGTAGAGTCACCGAATGGTGCTCAGGTCACCTTCCGTAGACCTGCATATTCGTGTAACCAAAGTGGTTCTTTTGTACCGTTTCACAGTAGTTTACAAATTTCACTAAAGTGAGTCGTGTCAGTTAGCATGAAGTAGCGAAAGGAGCCAGCGAAAGCGCAAAACGCCCCCTCTCCTCCCTCCCCCTATTAGTCGAACAGCGTCTCTTTGCTGTATGTCGCTGCAAACCTCATGGAGTGGCGGTGTCTTCTATCTCATTTAGTTCATTTGCAGAAACGTCAAGCACTCCTCACTGCTCGTTTCGTTTTTGACGATCATATAAGATGTATGGCAGCGAAACAACGTTTGACCAAGGTAAAATTCTTGAGTCATTCGTCATCTAAACCCGTTAAATGACCTTACAGGGGCGCCAAACAGCACGAGGATTGAAACTGCAGGCGATATGTGATCTACTCGGTGTACCTCGAATAGGAACACAGTCTCCTCGATCGAATCCATTCCGAATAGTTAAGGGATGTGCTCCAGGGAGCGTGAGAAAGGTAACTCCGTTGTTATGAAAAAAGTTGCTTTCAAGTGAATTGGCGAGTATTGGTGCTTTATCCTATCTTACGTCACCGTTTTTCACATTTCCGAGGCGCAGCATCCCGCCAAACTAGCATTCCTGGATAGTTGACTCGAAGTAGCTTTTTGGCGTCAATCAGCTATGCGGATCAAGGGACGCTTCTTTGTAGACAAACTCCGCGGTTCTATATTGTGGATAGTGGCGCTCAGTTACAAACCCATATTCGCTAAGTAACTATTCAGTGAAGTAAAAAGCGGAAAAAAGACTATGGAGAACAGCTTTTGTAAAGACCAGGTAGCCTCTCTGGGAGAGACGAGTTCTCCGGAGCTGGTCTTCTCGGTGAGCGGAACAACTGGGGAGGCGTCAGAACCGCCACTTATGAGTGTTAAAGCGTCTTCGTTACTTACTGTGGAGCTGCGAAATTGGGATAATCTACTGCTTGTACAAAGAAGGACGCCTACAAGTTGCTCGAGCACAGGACCTGCCTTTAAACTGCTCCATTTCAGTTTGGTTTTCCAACGATGTCGTCGAGGTCATCGTCGAATTCCGTGCCCGATGATCCAGCTCCGCGTTCGTCCCCATCACTTCCTTCGGTAAGCGGGGTAAAACATGTATAGCGTGACGGTTCTATGTGAAATTGTATGTTGATCCTGCCTATAGAAATCATTATCCTCGATGGTGCCTATTGTATGACGACCTCCTTAGTAGGTTGCTCAGGTGATTGTATCATTTTAACCAATTCTGTAATCTGATTGGAACTTACAAAGTGCAGGGTTCTAGAGTCTAATGTCCAGTAGTCATGACCTAAATACAGACGATTATGAGTGGAGTTGTTGAGGTATGACTGGTGATTAGCTTACTCAGTTTTTACGGTTGTGTTCTCAATTCAGTTGAATAATATCTTCTTTAGACAGTTTAGAAGTTTTTCATGATAGCTCCACCAACATTTCTTGGGTTAAATCATTGCTGTATCATGATAAAGTATGTATAGTAAGCTTACTTATGCGTTGAATGTTAGCAGCAAATGTTAGCTAAAATCATATGATTTTTTTATGTACTGCTGATGTAGAGTTCTGTACATTCTTTTCGAAATACCATATCAGGAATTGAAAAAAAGCCCAATTTGTTTCCCCTCTGCTCTTATTTTGAAGCCATATTCCTGTGTGAATGTTAGTGAGTCTTTGAACGCAACGAGTGAATGTTACCTGTAATTTCGTCGATCAAGCCACTTGTTTGAATGTCTGTTTCTTTGTTTAGCAAGGTTGTTGTGTTCTGGTCGAGTAATGTCGTTGTGTAACTCGATAAACCGGTGATTGTACATCGATTCAATAAAAAAATTATTAAAAAGGTTTTGGAAGCTCAGAAACGATCATTAAGTGCTTATTCGCTTACATACCGATGTTCCGATTTCCTATTATTGTAAAGTAAGTGTCCAGTAAGATATCGCTAACTTATGGTCACCGATGATGCGAACGCTTTGAATTTCGATGGTTGTCGCGTGATCTTTGACAGAACCTAAAGACACGTTTCACGATTGCATAGGAGGTGGTTCTTCCACTAGTAAGATGGCCATTCCGCAGCTACAGAAGTGTACCACTTTCCTTACCGGAAGCTCGTCACAAGAAGGCTAGAGGCTCTATGGATTACTTAAGGTTCTAGTATTCTCCTACCATTGCGATACGCCTGATACGAACCAGCGGTTACTGCGTGCAACTATCCTCAGATGAGAGGCGCAGATAACCAGCGCAAGGGGGATAGCAAAAGTCACCAAACAAACGCAATAATTCTTAACCTTCCTTTCGACTTTCGAGTGACGAAAATTCCCTTCTGTGGCTTGGGACCTTCTTACGTTGCATGTGGAAATGGTCCTATCCCAGATGATCGTGCGGTGTGCTTTCACCAGTAGTGATTAATCGCGTAATTACTTTGGGTCGAATGGACATAGAACAAGTCGCGCGCCTGACCCTAATTGGAATGTGAACGGCGAATCCGAGTTGATGCGCTAGGTAGACGAAGTAATGGGATCGCATTCCAAGCGCTAGTCTGGCGCCGTCTGACTGTGCTTCTGCATTCTGGTAAGTGCTCTTGTCTTGCCGTGAATAGTGAGTGAGCTTGAGTTTTACCTTTTTCAAGAGAATTGAACATTCACGTGATCCCTTTTCAGTGTGAAGATTTCCGCGCTTCTAGTGGTAAGGTTTGAGAATTCAGTACTAAAATCGTATGAAGGGTTCGTGGCATTTATGCCACCAGGATTTTCTCGGAAAAATACATGCGCGAATATGAGACTGAGGTTGCTGTTAGTATGGTGCAGGTCCATGTCTGACTACTTTCACAGCATCTGGGAAATTTAGGTGCTCGGGATGGAAGACACCGGTCCACCGAGCTCAGCTGATGCTTCATCTTCATCTTCCCAACCAGACGTCAATATACCGCCGTCCATACTCGTTCTTGGTATGGCTGGCTCCGGAAAAACATCATTTGTGCAGGTAATGTCCAGCCAAAAAAATTGCAAGCACTTCAATTTTGTGAAGCTGCTTGCAACTTTTAGTTCTTTTTAGAGTAAATCAAGTATCTTTGCAGAGACTCACTGCCTACTTACACGCGAGAAAGACGCCACCGTATGTGATCAATCTTGATCCGGCAACTGCTAATGTTCGTCTACGAAATGTTTTCTTTTTTTATATAGATTCTGCTAAACACTCCTGATGGCTGTTAAGGTCCCTTATCCGGTGAACATCGACATTCGCGATACAGTGAAGTATAAACAAGTAATGAAGGATTACGGTTTGGGACCTAATGGAGCGATTATAACGAGTTTGAATTTGATGTGCACTAAATTCGATCAGGTGAGGGTTTTTCGATGTTTAACCGGAGCGCCACAGTTTTTCAACTGATTTTAGGTCCTAGCCATGATTCGTCAGCGTGCAAGTCAGTATAGTGTATGTTTAATCGACACTCCGGGTCAGATTGAGGCGTTCACATGGAGTGCGAGTGGTTCTATCATCACAGATTCGTTAGCGAGTAGTCACCCAACAGTGAGTTCTGAATGCAGTGCTAACGTATTTGGGACGGGGGAGGGGTTGTGGGAGGGATGGACGACCGAACGGCAGCGTCCCTTCCGCTATCCAAGGCTCAGGCTTGCAATTGATCGCAGACGGCTGAAGACACCGTGGGATAGTATCGCTGAGAAGACAGTCTCCACTTAGCTTGAGGCCGCATTCATACTTTGTCACTGAGGCGACTCGCGTTTCTAGCTAAAGTCGCGATCGTAAATCGCGAATCAATATCGCATTCAGGCCTGGCATATGTGATTGTCGAAGTCTTCCAAAGCCGGTCGATGCTCAATGTCCGTAATCCCCAGATCGAACCTACACTTTCCTCGTCACGCAATATCTCGAATACCTGAGTTACCAAACAGGAGCGCGAGGCTGTGAACACAGCCCAAGTCTTAGTTAGGAAAGGGACACAGGCGCTGCCAATGGGCTTCTCCGATGCGTTCGAACCACATGTTGTCGAATGGGTCATAGATTATTATTTAGGCACGGTCCTCACTTGTTGAAAATTTTAGGACACGGTCTGTCGTTTCGGGTAATCTAAAGACCGCTTCTGTTTACGCTCGTTAGTAGTAATACGGTCACTTGGCAGCTTTCCGAATAGTTTTGTCAGTCAGTTTTGTCTTCTTCTTCTTCGCCTTCTTCTTCTTCTTCTACTCTTCCTTCAGCATTTGTCCCGCTTGGTGGCAGAGTTCGCTTTTTATATGTGATGACGCCATTTCTCCCAATTAAATGCTTGGTCAGGGTAGATTCCAGCTACTTTCAAGTCTGTATGCAACGTATCGAGCCAGCGCTGCTTGGGCGTCCCTTGGGCGCTTTCGGGGCACCGATCAGCTGGAGCTAGTTTTGAAACAGACATGTGTTAGCACCTTTCGTCAGTTTTGTAAAATACCTCCTTGTATCGAAATCCTATTTCAAGATAGTCCGTCCTTATGTGTCGACTCAGCACGTGCAACGAATCCGACGACTTTCATGTCAAATATGCTTTATGCGTGCTCCATTCTGTACCGGACAAAACTTCCTTTCATTGTTGCGTTTAATAAGGTGGGTTTTTATTGCTTTTAATTATTTTTATTGCGTTTGTTGTATAATACTGATCGGGTATTGGTGCGTTGTGTTTAGATTTTTCATTTACGGGGACCTAATCTGACTCCGCTCGCACCATTTAACGTGCAGTGCAAATCATCGCTTTGCTGCTCAAGCATATGAACACATTCTGGGCGCTGTTCGTCTTGTCAAGGGGCATTTTCTTTTGCTAGTTCCTTTTGTTGGTTCATATTACCTACCAGGTCCCTTTTTGAAGAGATATACATAGGTGAGCACCTTTTTCCCCCTCCAGACCCAATTGTGCCTGCACTTGCAAGTATTGTCGTGAAAGAAACATTCTGTTATCTGGATTGCTTCACCTGGAATATCTTCAACACGCCACATGCAGCTGGTCGCTAACCTATTTTATACAACATTTTGTACTCCTCTAATATTTGATATACTTTGAATTTTTGATCTCCGGATTTAACCAACATAAATCCAAAATGTTTTCACAGGCGGATATAGTCTCACCTGCATTCGCAAGGAGTTGGATGCGGGATTTCGAGCGTTTCGATCAAGCTTTGGAGGAGAATCGAAGTTCTTACATGAACGATCTCAGCCGCTCATTGTCTCTGGTGTTGGAGGAATTTTTATTCAGGAGTGTAGAGGAGCAGTGTATTTTTGTTGAACTAGAGTGTGAACAGCATTTTGTTCGATTACTTCTGTAGCACATATTCCATAGAACATCCTTATGAAGGAAAAACATGGAGGTATTTAGAAGAAAATCGAACAGTTGAGAAGATTCAGAGGTATACAACAAAGAGTAACCCACCTTCAGAATCTTCGTAGGTGTCTAGACGAAGCCGAGAAATCGTTGTCCTCCCAATGTGCTTATCAGATAGTGACGAAGGACGGAAATCATCGACTCGGAGTCATCAATTTTGAACCAGTTTGGCCTCAAGGTCCAAGTCCGAACTTGTGCTAAAAGAATTATATTAAGTGGATGAATAATAAATCATAGAATACGGTTAGACTATTGAGAAGTACTGGTACGAACATAAGCATTGTCCAATTCAATTCCCCATTCTCAACCAAGCTTACTCGGAATTTCCAGCATGCCTGGCATGCCTGAGTTGGTTTCTAGCCATACTAGACTGCATAAATCATCCGGGATGGATGACGTGGCGCGCTTCAGTTAAGCCCCCCCCCCACCTTCCCCGCTACTGTTCACCCAGCTGTGCAGAACCTTTACGCACTGAGCGAGGTGGGAAAAGGGTATGGACACCTTCGGTCACGTATCAGTTTAGGTGTTCGCGTCGGCAATCATTAAATAGGGAGAACGGGGGGGGGGGGGGGGAGGCGGTATAACGCCCGTGAACGGTAAAACTCAACAACGAAAAAATTCCTCCTGAGGTCAAATAGGCCACTCCACCCCCTCCGCTGTGGTGAGCTTCGCACGTCGACGCTGAACTGATTCCAGACGTCGTTTTGGAGAAACATTAAGTTTTCACTCACAACTTATCTGATTCTAAAAAGGCAAAGAGAGTAAAAGCGGAGGGCCAGTTTTTTGACAGTTTCCCCGTCTGAATCATATCTATTATATGATCCGGAAACAAACTCTTCGTATATCGAACTACAAACTCAGCTTTGAGTGAAATTTGTTTTCTGTTTCTCCTTCGTAAAGTGGCTGAGGAGCTGTATTATACGGCATTTACAGTTTCGATTTCTTCGGCAACTGGTGAGGGCATGGACGAGTTTATGAAAGCGGTTGGCGAATGCGTGGAGCAATATAAGAATGAATACGTCCCGATGTACATCCGTGTTTTAGCGAGTAAATCTAAGTTGGACAGAGCAGACGAGCATAAGAAAGTGAGTGAGGTTCGTTTTAAGAAGGATTTTTTTGTTACGATTTTCTTGAAAGAAGCGCAGTTACCCCTAAATTTCATTCTAGGTTTCCGAGAAAATGGAGGTGTTGAGCGTACACCCTACGTTAGACCCGCCAATCAGAGAACGTATTCATCTTGGAGGTGTGGAGCAAGAAAATGCTGAAGATGCCAATGTTCTTCGTGGGTAGTCCGATTTATCCATGGCTAAACGCAGGCGAAACTCAAGAGTGAAATGTGCAGAGTTTTTTTCGATTACATTGTTGAAGCGATTCCGGTGTTTTGCAGAATTATTTATGCTGTTTCGTTCATTCGCTTATGTCTTGTTGAAATATTGATTACGTTGATGTTGTTACAATGTTGAACTGTTGAAATAAAAATTCCAGCTAACCTCTCGCATTGAATTCAGCGTTGAAACGATTGATACAGTTAGTGGAAACGGTTAAGTGGTACCCCTTGAATGGTGCTTTCTTTTCAGATAATTTTTTTTAATTTACTAGCCTGAGATCTGGAATATATGGTGACCAAACATTTCACGAGGTGCGTTTTTTTTTTTTTTTGTTTTTCGACGGACGACGATGAAATTAAAATTTCTTTGCTTCACATTGTTCGCGTCGAGTATACTGAGTTTACGCATCTGTTTCATCGCAAGTATCGCTTAGTTGAAGCTGCAGCTTCCAGTGGCTCAGAAGGTCACAGTTGCACCTCAACAAGGGTAGAGGTCACAGTATGACCAAAAAACGGTAGAATTTGTGTGATAACAGAAACCGGCGAGGTGTATCTTGATTCTTTGCACACTTCATTGTCCTTTGGGTTTTTGATTCCCTCTTCACGTTTTCTTCAGAAACTTTTGAACACCACCAGCATTTGACGAATGCATTCTAAGGAATGTACCTCACCTCCTCAGATCTTGGTCTGGTACAACGTTTTAGGTGATTGGTTCGCCAGCTGCAAAGCGCGGTCACTTTCTCCGGTCCAAAGTGCACTGTAACGGAGTTGGAGGGTATTGTAACCTGGCTGCAGTCTCCCGTGCTCTGCCCCTGTCGCATGGCCGTCCACACGCGTGATCATAGCTGAACGGCCTTCTTGCCGGCTCCCTCTCTTTTCTGATTGTTTTCTCCCACCGGGTGTATGTTTCGCCGCGAGATCTTGGCATTGACGCAAGCGCTGCACATTGAGTATAAGCGCGAGGAGTATGGAGAAGGCATTCGGGCTCACTGAGTTCTACCCTTGTTTTAGTGGGCTCTGATGAGTGGGTAAAGTGGCGCTTTACTGCTGCTGAGGACTCAGTCATTTGGCACATGGAAGGGGCTGTACTTGGAGGTGAGGGTGCCGCTTTTCATTCATATCCGAATCTGTGTTTGCGAACAGGCATAGAATTTAGGCGTCGGTGCTTCTGGGCCGGGCAGGAGACGCCCCAACAGTTGTCGAAGCGGTACAGTTCCATGGGATTCGAATCACCAAAAACGATGCTTTAGTGAAAGAGGTACGTTTTTCCTGCTCCTAGTTTGTCGCATTCTGGCTTTCAGCAGCTATCTCTTGGTAGAAGAGTACATTGTTCTAGTTTGTAGCTATTTCGAAGCAGTTTCCCCTCCTGCGTCGGTCATTTATGATTCGGCGACTTGTCATCGGCTTCAAGGTTACATCATGAGAGCAATAAAGTACTAAAAACAGGAAACATTCTTCCGATAGGTGAAAACAAACATTTGGGGAGGGGGAGGCGGAAGGCAGTGGAGTCTCAGGGTCTGAAGTTCATTGCTCTTCAACACTACAAGCTCATACAAATATCCACTGGCCCAATTTATTAGAAATTATTTCGAAGCCGAAAGAAAAACTGCCTTGAATTGTAGATTAGTTTTGCGCTCGGTCTTCTTTGAAGCCAGTTCTATGTTCTATTGCATACACGGACTTGCTCAAAGATATGAGCGTTAGGCAGCGTTTAGACTTTGCGTTGACGCGCGACCACGCGCTACTATTGCAACAGCACCCCAAGAGTATAGACGCTAATGCAACCACGAATCGATCGGGTCCGGCCGCTTATGTTTCGAGAGAGTATAGTAACAAGAAGGAGGCACTGCCTTCTCATAATCCGGCACTTTACCATTCTTTTACACTCTCTAAGAGCAGTCGGCGCCGATCGATAGCCCAACAGAAGGGTGACGCATTACGTAACATACGTAATGCGCATACCCTTCTGTTCCGCCGTCCGGCGCTGATCGATTCCTGTCTGCGGCTGCGTTCGCGTCTAGGATTGTAGCGCGTTGTCGCGCGTCGACGCGCGTTATGGCGCGCTACTGCGCGTCATCGCGAAGTCTGAACGCTGTATAGTTATGACCTAAACATGATTGATCTGTGAGATCCTCCTTTTATGTTATAGAATTCGCATTTCAGGTTTCTGAACTGTATAGAAGTTCGACGCTTGATGAACTCGTTCATAACTCTCATCTTGCGGCAAAACATTTCCAGGTGAAGTTTCAGTAGGAGCAGTAATGGCTTTGTAAGTTTGCTATCTCAATATGTTCATTTTCAGGAAGTTGGATTGATGGAAAGTGCTGTTCCACTGATTGACGTTGCACCATCTAGTAATGGTTATATTGTCAATTTTGTAGTTAAGGAACCAAAGGTGAGACAGCAAGCTTTGACCCAGTTGTTGAAACGTTACATTGAAATGAGAAAATCGCTTTGCCGCAGTATTATTCACATAGCAGCTTGTTTATATAAGAACTAGCTCGCTGTTTTGAGTTCGTGAGTCATTTCGAGAGTAAATCCATAGGCGAAAACCAAGCTGACTGATGCGGAAAGACTGCATAGCGGCTGATCTGCAACCCATTTGAATTATTCAAGAAAATGCAATTGGAAAGCAGTTGTTTTATTTGTTAGTTCTGTTATGGTTTTATGAACAAACTGTTCCAACTTTACTACTGTAATTATTTCTCCAATTAATCTCATAGAACAGGATGGGCTCAGTGATTAGCTCTCTAACATTTCTAGGTCGTTTAGTTTGGTGATTAAAAGCGGCATCAGAAATGGCGATGCTGATATGTCTTTGACTGCTGGAAAGCATGAGTGTTTTGGATTGGTCTTCAGGGAGATCACAGTTTCAACCTGTCCTTCGCGAAACCATTCCTCGGTTGGCAAAAGTACTCAAATGTCACAGCTAGTCTGTTCAGGTTGGTGTGTGACGTCCTCCGCTTACTAATAACTTGAGGGAATCACGCGCGCTTTCAGAGCGATTTCATATTTGCCGTGGAATCATTCTAATTGTGAGGAAAACGCCATAATTTTCGGTTACAATGGAAGAATCTCGAAGAATATTTTGCATCAAATCAAGTTCAACACGGTAGTTACTAGTTTCAACTCATTGACTACATTTTCATACATATTTTGATCGCCATCATGAGGCACTGGTGAAATTCAGTTGTGGAGAACTCTACGGGCTACTGATGATGCAGCATTTCTCGTTCGTGAGCATGCCGGTCACACTACGAAATTCTCAATGGAAAATGCCATCGGGTTTGACACTCGGGATCGTCCTATTCTAGCATCGAAGGGAATACTAGGTTGGTTTTCAGGAGCTTCAACTGAAATATTTCGGATAGAGATTAAATCTCTGTTGGTGTAGTCTAACACTACAACAGACAGCTTGACTCAATATTGTGCTGTCCCGGAGCCTCATTGCAATCTGAATATGAAACACATAAAAGAGGCGCCAAAATTTATTGCAAAAAACTCAAAAGATCAAAAGAATCCAAAAGTTCTTGCAAAAATTTTTTATTGTTTCTAATACTTCCTTCGAATATTTCGGTGCCTAGCACCTTCCTCAGCGATCTG